TCGTGTATGCGGGGAGATACTTTTTTTTTTTCGGATTGTCTTTGAAACGAATTAAATAAATTTTATGTGATTTACTGCGTTAGTAATACGAAATGCTTTTTTGATTCTCCATATACCGTAGCATTAGATATCAGTGCGTTAGAATTTTTGTTGTTGTTGAGTTTTTTTAGTAGGATTGACAAAAAAATATTGTGTACTGCTGTGGGGGGAAGCCGTGAGGGAACCGTACTTGTAGTTTGAACGGTTAAAATATAATTTGGAATCTTTTTAAATAATACTTATTTACTAAAATCGAACGATTTAGTGGCAATGTTTGTCGCGAAGCAATAGAAAGCGTACAAAACACTGGGGTCGGTGACCTCGCTAGCACCACTATAGTGCGCGCGGAACTAGTTGGCCGCGCCTTAGGTATGTGAGGGGTGGGACGGAGGGGCGGGGCGCTTGCTGTCATTATTGATATGAGCTTTGATACTATGATGGACGAAGTCATTTTAAACTTACAAAATGATTCTGAATCAAGTGATTCAGAGGATATGTCAGAATAATTTCATATACTTAATTTGTTTTTGGTTTATTTTACTATTAATTAGATAGGTACAATATAAACTTCTAAAAGTTCAATTGCTTTATTTATTTATTTATTATTTCATTTATTCATTTATTTATTTTATTTAGTCTATCATTGTCTAAATCTCATCTGCATTACGAGTAGGGAGGCAACGCGCCCCCTCACCCCCGTCGCCACTTAAGGCGTGGCCAACTAGTTCCGTGCGCATTATAGCTTCAATCGTGTCCTGCCAATGGTAATTTTGCATCAATACCAAAAAGCTTAGACAGGATTTTGCTTATCGATTTATAGTTAAAATATAAGATCTAATAATACCTACTTGATACAAACTGAGAATCTATATTCATTCTTTAATGTAATTCTGGTTACGTATACGCTGACAGCTATACTAGGCGGTGTTGGTTCGATTATTGGGTATTTAAGACCTGCATCTGCTTGAGCTGTAAATTCTTCTCGGGAGAAGCTTGGGTAATGTTTAATTTAGAACCTGATTAGATAAATCGATTAGACCACTAATCGATTTAAGCCAATAAGTCTTTGGTGAGCATCGCTTCGTATAGAGCAGGGGCTCCCAAATTTATTTTGTCTACTGCCCACTTTGAGAATAAATATTTTTTTAGCGCTCCCATTTTTTCACCTACTTAATAACCACTATAGCGAGAGCTCAGACGGTGTCTAAGATTCCTCCTAGATGAAATTACAAATCGCCTCCCAAGCCTCTACACAACGCCCCCATTTTTTTTTGGGTCTGTTACCGCCCCCCTTTAGGCCTACAGCACCCACAAGGGGACGTTATCGCCCACTTTGGGAAAGACTGGTATAGATAATTGGCTCGGGCATTTTAATTATAATCGGTAACACATCACGCAAGGAACCCCAAATTACGGTTTCCTATGTTATACGAACTAGATACTTACATATACTAGTGGTCCTGCAGTAGTCGAAATTCGACTTTAATTAATTGAAATTATACATTTGAACATTATTATGGTTCTATTGATTGACAAAGACATAAACTTCTTCGTTCACAGATTTCACCAAGACTATACACTATAGACAAATAATATTAAATACAAACAATACATATTAATCTATTCGCAATTTGACTACAGACTTTAAATAATAAAAGTTTGACCATAAACAAAGTGTACATGTATTTATGTGTCTGTTTGTCAATTAGATGGTAGTGTGTGTAATATTTTTTTTTATTGATTTAAAGCGTTTTATATGCATAATTTAAAAATATATTAACATTCTGCACTCCTCTATATTCTCTCTAAGTGTGGAAAATTTCATGCTACTCCGTCCGCGCAATTTTCGTAAAAAGGGGTACAAAGTTTTTGCTTCACGTATTAATATATAGATAGACTTGTATACGTTTAAATCTATACTTATATAGATAATAAACATTCAGACAAAAAGCAAACAAACCTGTTCATCGCACGAAGCTGCCCGATATGGGAACCCACGACCCTCAGTGTAACAGTCAGACGCGTTAACTATTGGACCACCGAGACAGTCGTTAAAACAAAATGAATGTGTTTTGATCGCGAAAATTATATTTCATTCCGAGAATGGTTCCCTCACAACTTTCACACTCAAATTATTAGCAAATAAAAATTCGTTGCCACGTTTGCTTAAAGACAACATTTTGTTTAAAAAATTATATATACGGTCCGATGTTATAATAAAATATTAGTCCCATGGCTTTTCAGTAGTAAATAGTGTTTTGTTTTTTGATGTCTATCCGAAAAGCAATTGAAACATATACAGGAATATTATGAATAAATATATGCCGGTCTGATGGATGATACCTAAGTATTGTTTTTTTTTTGCACACCGTACCCTTTAGGGATGCGTCATTACGTAGCTGACTGCGCAAGAAAAGTGAATATTATAATAATATTAATTGTACTGTGTTAACCCGTGAAATTAAATGCGAGTTTTTGAAGAAGGAATTCATTTTTTCACATAATATTTTAAGGCAACCGCGCTTATTAAAAGATCAGATGAATTTTTGAGGCAATTCTATTTTTTTTATTGCTTATGTGGGTAGAAGAGCTCACAGTCCACCTGATGTTAAGTGGTTACCGGAGCCCATAGACATCTACAGTAAATAAACAGTCGACGTCGCCCTAAACACGTCATTTCGAATCCTCCCAATCCACTAACGGTACCTCAAGCACCGGTCATCGTTCTCGTCGAACCCGTCGCTTGCGACGAAAGACTATGAGTAAACGAACCCACAGACACAGCTTACTGAGTTTCTCGCCGGATCTTCTCAGTGGGTCGCGTTTTTGATCCGGTGCTAGATTTTAGCGAAGCACTGCTCTTGCTAGAGTTAATGTTCGCAACAACATCGTCAGGTGTGAGCCCCGTGAGTTCACCTACTTGTTAGGTTACGCTGACATATCCTCTCAAGACTATCTATTAGTTGGGTAGGGAAAAAAAGTTGATGCTGTTATGTGGTTACGGGAGTCAATAACACGCCGTCATGCATGAGACGCGAGCTCTCAGTTTTATAGTACAGCCCCACCCTTCAAACTGGAATGTATTACAGCTTACAGCTTCGCTACAGAAAGGGACTGGGTGGTGGTCCTACCCGTGCGGACTCACAAGGCGCCCTACCGGCGTGCGGGGCATACCATGATATCCACTTAAGAACAGATGAGTGGGGAGACTTTCCACTCATCGAGACCACATCGTTATCGTTATGAAAATATTTATCTGCAACCAGTACAAAATAATATATTTGTCACTAGCTGACTCCAGCAGACTTCGTAGTGCCTCAATCGATAAATAAAATACCTAAACTTTTGTATAAAATAAACTTAAAACAGACAAAAGGAATCCTTGCGACGGGGGATACATCAAAGGAAAATTAAATTTGTTTGTTTTTATATAATTCCGAGCATTTTCATATTTATTCACCTTTTAAATCTTCTCTGGACTTCCAGGAATAATTCAAGACCAAAATTAGCCAAATCGGTCCAGCCGTTCTCGAGTTTTAGTCAGACTAACGAACAGCAATTCATTTTTATATAAATAGAAGCTTATTGAGTCTTCTTCGATATATGCGTGGGCTATGCTCGGGTTCTGAGCAATAAGCGATTGATGCTGTGGTATTACTGTCTCTTCAAAACTGAGACAAGTAGTGTGCTCACGAGTGCTCAAGTAGGAGTATAACTACGTTTGTCAATAGAATTCAAACGACCTTTCATGATATGATTATATATAGCAGTATGTACCAGATACATACCAAATGCCAATGCCGAACAACTTATGATCGAAATTGACTGTTTGTTTGGCTGATTTATCGTTGTTAATTTCACTAATATCATCGTTCTTAATTTACATGCTAACGCATCGGAGATGAGGTAATGTAATAAAGAACCATTTATGTTTTCTTTATTAGTTTAGTGAATATTTGTTTTATATTTTCGATATGAGAATAATTTATTTATCCTCGTAATTTTGTGGTTACATCCGTAGTGCTCTATGATTTTTGCGTTTGATGCTTTTTGTGTACGATGAGTAAAAGTTTTTCCGTGTCTCACACAAAATCATAGACGTTTTAGACGCACCAGAAAGTACTTGAATTTGTTTCATTATTTACCACAAATATTTGGGTTTTTGTTGGGATTTTTTCATCGTTAATGGGTCCAAAAAAGAATAATTTTGGTCTTTGTTTTTTTTTTGTTTTTAATTTTAAAGTATGTGTTATTTTAATTATAAATAAATACCGGACACGGAACAATGATCTGTAATATTTTATTTTATTGGTAACGTATCTGTGAATGCTTCGAGAGCTTGTCTTTGTATGTACTGTGTGCTTAATGTGAGTTTTTTAACTTCTCGATCACGTAAAAGGTAACTCAAATTTGTATGCAGTTGGTACAACGCCACTACTTTTGCCGTTAGGGGCGCTGTTCCAATTCCATATAAATTTAAGTTCACTTTGACATTTGAGTTGGTCATGACGGCGCTTGCATTAGTCCGCGTTACAATAATAATTAACGTGGCCTCCGTATCGATTGTTAGATACGTCCGCTGGTTTGGTCAATCGAATAGTTTACTAATGAAAGAGCTTGGCATAGATTAAGCTACCGTACACGATCGACGGGCCGTAATAAAGCCTATAACAATGTGTACGATTAAAATAAACTGCCTTATTAGAGCGTGGTTCGTTCGCGCAGTGTCAATCAGCCTGAATTATGAAAGCGCGTAGTTGCACAAGTACTCTGTGTTTCGAGTTATACTCCAATATGAGTATTAAAAAAAAAATGAGATTTACAGATCAATGTTTCGTTTGTAGATTTGAATATTTTTTTTGTAGTCAATTTATTTTTAAGTAAAGAGTAAAATTTGTGTATCTGTGATGGCAATTTCGATGATCGCTAAAAATTATGGTCAATTATTTCGATTCCCTCAGGTCTCCTCCGTTACAAAGTGGACTTCCAATCGATGCAGCTCGACGACGAGGAAATCGACAATCTATACGACATCGACGACTATTAGCTGGCAACACTGAAGGAACGAGACAAATGCACGCGTCTTCAAAAGCGCCGCTCCATTGCTGTACCGTGTTGCTTTTGTCTAATCTGACGTGACCCAACAGAAAATGCCTCTATCCAAAATAGTGTGTATGTGTTCGGAATGAAAATGGATCGTACAGAGATTATCAAATAAGTTTTCATTTTTTTTAATGAATTGTGATCTTTGATAGGGTGGGTGTTTTCTGTTGGACACCGTCCCGTTTTATGATGTTGTAAACGGAAATTTGTTATGAAATAAACGATGCGCAATCGAGAAGCAGTTACTATCTCACCTGCAATGTTTTAGTGTACACAAAAACCCTGTAAGCTTTGGAGAATAATTATTTTTAATACCGGACGGACGTTGTCAATTTCAAGGTTTGCGCTAAGAGGGCTATTAAGTAAAGCTAGGGTGCTCTTGGTAACAGGAGCCGAGCTGTCCTCAATCTTGAGGTTTTGAAAGAGTCAACATCCTAAAGAAACTGTTATGCATGGATGGTTCGCGGCAGAAATAGGTAGGGTTCTGTTAATTACTTTTGCAGACTCAAAATGCGTTTTAAGACTAGTAAGTTTTGAGTTGTTTACCCTAAAACTTGAGGACTTAATATACTGGAGCTTCGTAATACCATTAGGCGAAATAAAAACGTAATTAGGCTATTCTATCGTATTGAGATATTACCCATAGATATTTTAAAGAGTCTGGCATTAGGCTGCTCCGTGATAAAGCAGAATTTTAGCAGGGTTTAGAGATGAGCGACTAGTGTTTTGTTTGGGTGCACTTTTGAGATTGGCAATGGCGTAAAATTGTTGGGGTTTGTCTGCGTATCGATAGGGGACCCTACAATGGTGCCCTTTCGTTTGAAGATGACTGGCCCCTATTTAGAAGGTATGGAGCACACTATGTCGCAACGCAGTAATGAAAATCGACAATTTGAAATATGAATGTAAATTATTGAAATGTTACGAAGAAGGTCGGTACTTACATGAGAATCTTTCAAAGCTAAGAAAATTAGGAGGTAGGGAATGTTGCGGGGAATCAACTATTTATTTTTTGTGTATTTTACTATTTGGCAACGTTCTCGTCTTTGTGTGTACTAAAATAGTGTGAGTTACCCATCAAACATGGTGCACAATGAAATTGTAAAGTCGCATTGGAGAATAAAAAGCAACAAAATTGGTTCTGTTTGAAAAAATATTAATAAATAAAAATTAGAGATAGTGGTGTCTTGTCTCAAATCGGCCCAAAATCGTCCATCACATATTACTTGTTGAAAGAACTCCCTATCTATATATTTATAAATAAATTTTGTGTTTCGATAGAATAATGTACTACTAAACTGCTAAAGAATTAAAGAAATTTCAGAAATAATGTTTTTTTTTTTGTTAAATAAAAATAATAGTACAAGTGACCTGTGCAAGTTTTTTTTGACACCTTTTATACTTATATTACGTTGCAAAATCGAAAATAGAACAGCGAATATATTCCACCCTGAAATAAGCAGGGAGCAATATTAATTTTAGACGTCATGATAATCTTATTGTTTGCCGCCGCTGACTACTAAACTTCTGGCCACGCAGGAGCCAGTCGGCGTCGGCGCCTCAAACAAGTCCTTATGAATCCACCAGATCCTATAACTCTTGCATTAGACGCCTTTAGCTCTAACAGTAAGAAAAAGCTCGACACGACACTCGACGAGCAACCCAACCCATACATCAGCCCGCTGAGTTTCTCACCGGATCTCAGCAGGTCGCGATTCCGATCCGGTAGTAGATTCAGTTGCTAAGCAACTGGCCTTGAGTTGTTAGATCTCCTTCGGAGGCGCTCGGACGGACAGCTGTTAGCATATCCCTTTTCTCCTGGCCGAGCCTTTGCTCGCTCACATATCCTGGTGAAACCTAAAAAGAACACCGAGCCACCAATAATTCTTAGTTGCTCAATATAGGTACTCGTATCAAGCAAGGCGACTTTGGCGTTCAAATCTAGCAGACAAGTATTATAATAGTACCCGGTATTCTAAGGAAAACAGTACTAAACACATGTTCATGGATGGCTTGAACGATGAAGGGATGACGTGTAATAATCTCTTACTTGGTCAATGGAGAGATTTCGGTTCTACGTGTCCCATGGGAAGTGCTCTGAGCAATTGTTTGTGATGGTCCATCTCTTATGGTTGCCAGGTGCTTCACCGGTCCCGCGTGGAGTACTGCTTCCATCTCTGGACCGGGGCTCCCGAATGTAAGTAACTGGTATTTATTTGGCTTCCCGGAGTAGGGCCCATCCATACCATCTAGATCCACTGTCCGTTTCCCGAGACCTTTTTTGCCACGTACCATCCGGCTTTGGAATGAGCTTCCCCTCTACGGTGTTTTCCGAGCGCTATGACATGTCCTTCTTCAAACAAGGCTTGTAGATAGTATATAACGCTAGGCAGCGGCTTAGTAGTACCTCTGGTATTACTGACGTCCATGGGCGACGGTAACCACTCACCATCCGGTGGGGCGTATGCTCGTCTGGCTTCAAGGGTAAGTCAAAAAAAACCTGTTTCCCACACCCCGTATAAAATAATACTCGTTGGAGAAAGATTGTGCAGAGACTTCGTTTGCAATGTGCAATGCAATGCATAGAGACTCACGGAAAGTAGAATTTATGAAAAAAAAATGTGAGCTGTCACGGGACGCCTGGCAGATGTGAAACATCGACATTACCTATTTTGTAAAAGTAATATGCGGAAAAGAACAGATTGTTGTCGAAAGTTAACTAAAATTTGTATGCATTAGGAACAGCTCCCACTCCTTACAAATTTGAGTTAACTTTTACGCTATCGAGAACTTTAAAAAACTCGCACTAAGCACACAGAGCACCGGGGTACTTGAGGAATGTATATCTTCACGACGATTTGGAATTAGAACCGTTGAGTAAGTATCTGAAAGCAGCGTCTGAAAGCTTTTCATCGTGGCCGCCGCTAATTTATGTAGTCGTAAGGATAAGACGCCCGGTGCATTCGTATCGAGCGATGCAACGATGTTCGAAACCCGCAGGCGGTTACCAATTTTTCTGATGAAATACGTACTTAACAAATATTCACGAATGAGTTCCACGGTGAAGGAATAACACCGTGTAATAAAAATCAAACCCGCAAAATTATAATTTGCGTAATTACTGATGGTAGGACCTCTTGTGAGTCCGCGCGGGTAGGTACCACCACCCTGCCTATTTCTGCCGTGAAGCAGTGATACGTTTCGGTTTGAAGGGTGGGGCATCCGTTGTAACTATACTTGAGACCTTAGAACTTATATCTCAATGTGGGTGGCGCATTTACGTCGTGGATGTTTATGGGTTCCGGTAACCACTTAACACCAGGTGGGCTGTGAGCTCGTCTACCAATCTAAAGAATAAAAAAACATACAAAGTTCGTGAACTTACAATATTCGTTGATGTGTCAATAAATTGTTATCAAACCTTGGTTTTATAAGTTCAAAAAATTCAACAAGCAAATACTAACTAGTGTAAAAAATATATTGTCGGAGTATCTTTTCTTCTTCACTAGCGGCTTACCACCTAGGACCCTGAGGTCTACCTGCATTCCTCTACTGCTTCGGTACAGCACCAGTGCGACGCACCCGGCGAGAAGTTATCAAAATGTACTCCCAAATGTNGGAGTATCTTTTCTTCTTCACTAGCGGCTTACCACCTAGGACCCTGAGGTCTACCTGCATTCCTCTACTGCTTCGGTACAGCACCAGTGCGACGCACCCGGCGAGAAGTTATCAAAATGTACTCCCAAATGTATGTACTGAATTCTTTATTAGATACATCCTACTTAAGACAGAAAAATTGAGTTTTAATTGTGTTTCTCTCATAAAAATTGTAACTCATTAAACCTTTTTTGGATAGTCAATGAAACGCAAGCAAGTTGTTTTTATTATTATTATTAAGCGAGCATAAATATATACATAGCTCAAAGAGTCAGCAAGCTGAAGTGGCAGTGGGCTGGCCATATATGCCGTAGGACTGACGATCGCTGGAGCAGACGGGTTCTCGAGTGGAGACCGCGCAGCGGAAGACGTAACGTGGGACGCCCCTTGGCTAGATGGTGCGATGACCTCCGCACGGTGGCCAGCAAGAAGTGGATGAGGAGAGCCGCAGACCGGGCTCAGTGGTGTGGATTGGGAGAGGCCTATGTCCAGCAGTGGACGACTGTGGGCTGTTGATGATGATGATGATGATGATGAAGCGAGCATACGCCCCACCTGACGGTGAGTGGTTACCGTCGCCCATGGACTTCAGCAACGCCAGGGGCAGAGCCCAGCCGCTGCTTACCGTTAAGTACTCTCCACAAGCTTCGTTTGAAGAAGGACAAGTCAGTTTCGCTAGAAGCTTATGCTTTCGGTTAAATAGTATTTTTTTGACTTCATAATTTGACTTACCTATATAAATAACGAAAACGAATGCAATAAATACAAAAAAATTACAGGCAATACCGTCTTTACCATAAGGGCGCACGGGGCCCGTGCCCAGGACCCCCATTTTCAGGGGGCCCCGAAAGACCGACAATTTCTCTCACACGTTTATTCTCAAAACATTTTTGTCGGGCACATTACACTTTTTTCACGAATCAGTAATCAGAAGGTATTTACAAGGCATATACTATGCCTATAATAGAAGATTTTGCTCAACAGAAATCCCGAAAGAAACCGTTATCGAAATCGTAACCAAAAAACCAGCAGCATTCTAATATCATTAATGACATATTATATCATACTGTATTTGATTACCCATAATAAATGGTCTCATACTCAATAAAAAAATGTTATTATAATTCGCTTTTTTTACTTTCCAAAAGGGCCTCAAATTCTTGTGTGCCCAAGGGCCCCATTCTAGTTTAAGACGTCCCTGATTACAGGCCGTAGTAGGCACTTCGAAACGTTTTGGTATCTTTATTAATTACTAGCTGACCTGGCAGACTTCGTAGTGCCTCAATCGATAAATAAAAGACCTAAACTTTTGTATAAAATAAACTTAAAACAAACAAAAAGAATCCGTCCGACGGGGGACACATCAAAGGAAAAAAAAATTGTTATTTTTATTTAATTCCGAGTATTTTCATATTTATCTACCTTTTAAACCTTCTCTGGACTTCCACAAATAATTCAAGACCAAAATTAGCCAAATCGGTCCAGCTGTTCCCGAGTTTTAGCGAGACTAACGAACAGCAATTCATTTTTATATATATGGATAGATGTGTTTGTTAATAACTCCTAATAAAAAAATAATAGCAGAAATTCGATCAA